CATGACAAAGAGCCTTTTCATACCTGATATTCAAACCTATGAAGTTAGTCCAAGAGAAAATGTAGTCTCCGCTAAACACCATCCCGATGTAGGTCACCAGGACATTCTGAAACATCGATAAAGCAATGCGTTTGGTGTCCGGTTGCATTCGTCTGCAGCTTTAGCGAAACAGCGCGGCTCACCTTGATGCACCCCACGATGGTGGTGGTCAACGCAGAGTTGTACTGTGTGCATAGTACAGTGGAGTACATGAGAATAAACCTAGGAACGGGGGGTTGGGAAGGAGAAACGTTTAGAAGCTGATGTTTGCCCCATGAAGTTAGTCGTGATTTAATGTCAAGCATGAGCAGCATCCGGATTTCGTCACAGACAAAAACCACATTCATCCAGTGCGGTTCCAGATGTAGCTACATGAACATGAAGGCGTTCAAAGATCTTACCCCATGACACAAGAGAGGACGAACTGGGAGAGGAAAAACGCATCAGACCAGCCGTCAAACTCTACTGCCTGCAGTCGGAAACAAAGTGCCGGAATCAGCATGAAATAAAAAGGTACAGATTCACAAACGGGGGGAAGGTGCCTTGCGATTATGAATCACAGAGTCACTGATTTTGGGTGTGGCAACATCAGGTGTCAGCGGATGGAAACAGAACGCTGTTCAGTGGAAGCACTGAAAAGGTTTTTGAATTTCCTGGCACCGTTCTGCTCTTTAAGAGCCGGCGCTGATATCCCATCGGCTTCAGAATCGCCGTTAACTGTATCTCTACTGTAGTGATTCGGTCCAGACTTGCTGCTGGAACGGCAAGAACAACTCGGCTGGGTGAATAATGGCGTCTTTGTGCTTCTCGGGCTGCTGAGGCCCAGCTGGGCGGACCACAAGGCCCCTGCCAAGATTTACCCAAAAAAAAAAAAGATAAAAAATAAAAAAAAATAACACACAAAGAACTGCTCATATTTAAGGAATTTAGTTCAACAAATTGAGCTGATGGACACAATGGAAGTGATAGTTTGACTAAAAGAAAACATGGAATCACCGGGAATAAAGCCAAAGTTTTATTTTAATTAAAAGGACCAAAAAGACAACAAAATGAAGAGTCAACTCACCTTTTGCATATCTCCTGTCATTTCAGCCAGTAGCAGAGTGGGCACAATCATAAATAATGCATTGTAGTATAATAATCCATATTTCCCCAACTCCTGTGACAAAAAAACAGGAGAAAGGTGGAGTTATTCACTACATTTTCAGACAGAGTACTGATGTCATGCGTTGCCAAGATGCTGAACCGCTTCTACGCATTGGCCCAGCTCCATCTCCCATCTTCAACTCCCTTGTTTTACCAGGACGACAATCCTGCCCTGCACAAGCTGACTGTATACTCTAGATATTATGGGCTGCATCTCGATCCTGCTGTAACTTGAGAGTTGAGCAATCTGCTCTTGTGACATAAAACGTTGAAATAAAACAAGCTAAAACTCGCTCCTGCTTTAACAAAGCATTATTGATGCAGTTTTTTCCCTCATTACATGCAAGAAAAAAGGGATACAAGTGCAGTTTGAAGGTAGTTTCAGAGTGGGGGGGGGGGCATTTCAAAGTTGAAGAATTGACTTTGTTGGGAGTAAAATGACTTAAGAAACAACTGCGACCCATAAATCTCTAAAGGAGGGATTTGATTCTCCAGAGTTAACAGAAACTCAATCGCATCACGAATCCATCCAAACAATGGCCACCATTCATTAAGATGACCCCACCACATACATACCTTTGCATCTAATTTTTGCTTCACATAGGCCCCATTGGCTGCGGTCAGGACGTCATTCATCAGGATGAAGACGTAGCCTTGCAGGTCAAAGGACAAGTCGGCACTTTGAACATAAAACGGGTGAAAACGGCATATGAATCACACGGCTTTTCTTTCTTTTTCTTTTTGCTATGTCGTATTTGAGCTTTGCGTCTTTTGCTGTAGATGAGCGGCGGTGCTCCGAAAGGTCACGGCAACTCTTTTGTGAGCATATATCAAGATAACGGCGCGCTCTGTAGCGACGGTAATCCTGGTGCGGTGAAAAGCCAGGACACCTGGAAACAGTAGAAGCTCACCTTGCGGCTATGAACGCCCCAAGGATCATTGTAAACACTGTCAGCTGGACGGGCCTGGAGAACTTCTTCCTGCCACGGGGGTCCAAACACAATGAAACTCAATCCGATCGCTTTGAGGCACTGAATAATAACCGGCATTATGTTGTGTGTCACATTCGACATCTGACGGAGAAAGAAAGTGGGTTATCTTGTCGTGGCTAGACTTACTTCAGCAGAAATCCCTCAGCCAGCATCGTGAAAAGGATGGAGAATCTCCTGAGGACTGTAAACATCGGCAAACTGGTGGCAGAGGACACAAAGTGGAAGACAATGAGCCACAGAGTCACGTTACTCTGTGAGATCATTGCATGGATGAGTATTTACTTGAGCCTTTTGGTACCAAATAGACCAGTGATTTGATTTCCCACATACAGGAGAGGTAGAGGAAATGTCTGGAAAGGCAAGGATTTAACATCCAAGTTTACAATCACATGAAAAAAACAACAACAAAAAACCATCAAGTTGTGCATCTTCTTTGTACTTGAGTATTTGTGAGTCTTACCTTGTGAGGTATGCTCTCATCCAAATCTGGGAAGGTGATCACCCTCGCAGCCTTGCCCACCCACAGAACAACCACTGTGGCCAACATCTGCACCAAAGACACGCCAGAGGAAATCAGTTCAGCTCCATCTGCCTGGTCTAGTCACCCTGACCCGCTTATGAGAAAAACCCCAACTTACTTGTCCTATTCCCACACATATAGACGAGGGAAACCTGGAGGGACAGATGAAGGGGGGGAAAAAAACACCTCAATGTTAGCCAACGTGTACAAAAGCAAGAAACGACTTAGAAACACAACAAGGAAAGAGAAGTAAAGTCTCTCTCTCTGCGGCAGTGAAGAATCTCGCTAACGGTCGGCGGAGCTAACGGGCTCGGCTGGCTGCCTCCGCTGCCCCGGCCGCCGCAACTTCCCAGCCGCTACACTACCGCTAGCTCCGCGACCTCCCTCCGCCCCCATGGCCGCGCTGGCGCTGGGGAAACAGTTACCTGTAGTTCGTGAGGACGCTTTTGTTCACCACGACGATGAGGAACGAGCTGAAACCGTAGAACCCGGCGGCAAACAGCTTCAAGAACACCGTGGAAGGTTTATCCGCCATCACCGGCAACTTCTCACTCCTCTGTGCGCCTCCGCGATGCCCCTGTTGCCATCATCACTCCGGGAGCTCGCCCGCTCCCTCGCAGATGCGCGCCGCGCGTGCGCACCACGCCAGAACGTTCGCTGACGTTTTACAACTTCCGCCTGAGTCTGAAAGCCTCCCGCACGGAGCCATGCAGATATTTTAGGATTACACTGAGTTGTGTCCTTGTGGCGCTGATATCCAGGAGTTGCAGGGTGAAACGGGAGCTGTTTTCACACATTCACTGCTACTTCGCTGTTCTGAATATTCAAGGTTTTTTTCAATAACATAGTGGATTATAGTTAGAGCACAGGGAAATATTTTCACCAGTGAACATACTGTATGTGCAGTGATATGACTAACAATTTGTGTATTGACCAAGAAATTTGTGTTTGAGTGATTAGTTCTTTGTTGTAGCGATGCTTCTTGGTAATAGACCTGGAAACAAAACCCACTGTTGAGATATGGATTTATTGAACTGGCTGATGAAAGATAAATTGGATATTTATCATTTAACTGGTATCTACATGCTGTACAAAAAAACTACACGACCACAACAGCAATAGATGCTATCATTATGGTCAGACACTGCTGTGGGATTCTTCTACTGGGTGTTTTTCTCACGTTAGTTAGACATTGTGCATGGATAAACTACATGTGCTGTTAGTTATCCTAGAATACCTTGAATTAGACATTTGGTCTTTATCATTTGTTTTTTAGAATGAATAAAACAATTAGCCATAACAAACATATTTCTCAGCCCCTCAAATTTCACATTCCTGATGAATTTATGTCATAAAATACATTTGAAATATTTAGTGGTCAGGGGATTTGGAAGCACAGTTTCTAGTTCTTTGCTTCCAACTCTGAATCCGTAAAAAGTTTCCCTTCTCACGGGCTCCCATCCCATTTTTCTTAGCCCTCATCCACTTCACAAAAACCCATTAGGAGACCTTACGTTTTACCAAAGCGGACCGAAGCTATAGCTGGTGAAAAGTAGTACACCTCCACCCAACTTACTTACTTTGGTGTACGATTTAGACATCCAAACAAGACAGTACGCGAGAGGTTCTACTTTTAATAAACCTGTGAAACTTTTTTCAGTATTGTAAGTCAAGTTTGTTTGCACAATAGATTCCAGAAACAAGGCAGTTCAAAGTGCTTTCCATCTTGGAATCAATTATGAAACAAGCAATAAATGTTACGTCTTGCCAAAAGCCATCTACAAGAAAATATATATCAAATAAATCGATCAGTGTTCCACTTCCTACTAATCAGAAGCAGATCTAAACTGGTGGGTTTTTAGTCTGGACTTAAAGGGGCTTTGGGGTTTTCTGGAAGTTTGTTCCAGGATTATGGTGCTTCTCGCATGTACGTGCCAAATTTAGGAACAAAGAAATTGTGGAATAAGTTAACACATTTCTTAAAAAATGTATTAAGTAATAATAAAAAAAAAATAAAAAATAAATGCTGTAACAAAAAACGTGGATGATTTAATTCTTTCTGGATACACTGTACCTCACCTGTTTTAAAACCCTTATCTAACGGTCCATACGGCGGTACATTTCCTATTACCGACAGTCCCGATGGTGCAGGAATCATTAGGCCAGCACTGAATGGAAACCAACATCAAACAGTCACTGAAAGACAGCCAGCTGCCTGACCTGACATAAAGGCCTGTGTGTATTTTGGCAGGTGGTTTTGGGATGAAAAACCCTGACGTGTCTCTGATAAGAAATGGGTCTGTGCGTGCGCCACGTTGTCAAACAGGAGCTCGGCTGCTGGATCGACCCTTCATTCATTCTTCTTTTCTAAGAGACGGAGGACGACACCCGAGGGCCAGCCATGTCTGGACTCAACGCATCACTCGGGTACTTCCTGTCGGTGGTAATTTTCGCGGTCTTGGTCCAAACGCTCCTCAGAAAATGGCCTCGGTTTAGCTTCGTGTCCGAGTTCGCCGCCTCCTTCATGCTGGTGGCGTGCTGGCTGGAGATACAGACCATCGTGGAGGTGGGCCAGTGGGCCGGGGGCTTGGGCCAGGACGTGACCGTCACCATGCTGTTTGTGCTGCTGCTGACTCACGGCGTGCTCTGCGCTGGAACGTCGGGGAATCCCAGCCTGGTCATGCAGAAGTTCCTGCAGCTGGAGGTCGGCGCTCTGCCCACGGCGCTCGCCGTCACGGCCCAGTTCGCTGGGGCTCACCTGGGCCTGCTGGCAGCCAGGTACTACTGGAGCCTGGAGCTGACGGACATGCACATGATCAAAAACCTCATGTCGAGAGAATGCAGCACGTCCCTGCTGGTCTCCGTGGTTCAAGGCTTTTTTACAGAGTGTGCCTGCGCGCTTGTCTTTCATCTCATCCAGTTAAATCTGAGACGCAGATCGGCTCTGATCCGGGTACCCCTTATCGCAGTTCTCAACACTTTCTTCTCTCATGTCGGTGAGTCTGTCCAAACTTCTTTATGCTTATCGGAAGAGATGGGACGTAGGAGTGTCCCGATCTGATATTAATATCGGATTGGGATCTGAGCATTGGAATAAATCGACTTGCATCTGCGATAGAAGCATTCTGCTCCGTCATTTCTAACCAGCAGCGCTTGTATCTCAAAAGGAGACCCATATCAAATGGATCTGTTCAGTTGTTCTCTTACCTACTGTTATAGACTATTCTCTGAGTAATATCGCTAGATCATGCCTTTTCCAACATTCTACCCTAATAATAAAAGTATGTATGATTCATGCCGATGTTGTATCTGACCAATATCAGTACCAGCCGTTGCTCAAACTTGCAATATTGGTTTTGCGTCAGACCGGGAAAAAGTTGCATCGGGACACCCCTACTACGAAGCATCAAGTCTGGTTTCATTCAAACTTTTTAAGTCTTTCACACTCAAAACCAGCTAAACACGTTAATCTCCTGACTTATCCGTTCTATTTTCCAGCCAGGAGCTACACCTCTGCTTTCATGAACCCATCTCTGGCTTATGGACTCACCTTCTACTGTCCTGGATTTACCTTCAAAGAGTATGCAGTGGTTTACTGGCTGAGCTCTCTCACAGGTACGTCACATTACGCAACACCAAACGGTGCATTCGTGTGTTGCAGTCTTTTAACAGTTTCCTTAAAAACTGCTTGTTTCCCAGGGATGATGTTGGCTCTTCTCCTTTACATGGGCCACATTCCCAGGCTTTTTGCCAAGAACCTTCTGTATTTCCAGAAGACACGCTTCAGAGTGCCGAAAGGAGACAAACCGGAAAAGAAGAAAAAGTGACAGATGGTGATAGGAAAAAAAAAAAGACTATTACAAGAAATGGTCAATGGCAGAAAGAGGTTTACTTTAACTGAACAGCAATGGATGCATTATGTGAAACATTTGGAAAAAATGTAAAATAAAAACAAAACAAAAAAATGTATCTTCGTCTTCGTTGTCTATATTTAGACAAAAAAACTTGTGGAAGAAATGTGCAATTTGCAGCATGTATTCAGTGAAATAAATTAAATGAAAAATAAATTGTCAGGATTTATCCAAAGTATGCTTTCTATTTAAAAAAAAAACAACCTATTTCCTGGTAGAACTCTGAGAATTGCGTTTTTTCGAAGACTTGGAACCATCAGCTTTTGGGCGTTTGGGCTGATTTTTAGCTGATGGACCTGGATCTGCAAGAAAGGGTACAAACGTTCAAAAAAATGATTTTAGTAATAAAATTCTGAAAATAAAATATCACCAATAAAAGTGTGAATTTGTTCTTTTTCTTAAGAAGACAAAAAGTTTGCCTATTCACCAGATTGTTCCCGCTGCTCCAGCAGGGCCTCGGGTCGGTCCGCCCACAAACAATGATCTGGATTATTCAGTAGGTTCTTGGTCTGGCCGCAGCCAAGACACCTCACTACAGTAAAGCGATTCTTTTTGTTTTTTCCTAGTCAAACAAAGTGAGAAAACAGGAAATTATTACTAAAAACTACTGAACAAAGATTAAAAATAAAAGTCGACAACGTTGACTGAAATGGCCATCTGCCTTACTACGCTGTCTTGTTGTGGCAGTAACACCGGGGATGAGCAGTGAGCAGCATTTCTTACACATAGTTCTCTTCACTGATGGGTCTCTGCAGGAGAATGAAAGAAAGTCACAATTTGAAATTTTCTCTGGACGCTGTTCTCCTGCCTGTCCGGGAGTTTATGCCTGCAGGCACACAAGGCATTTCTAGGATAATTTTTGTTTCTTTTTTTTTTTTTTAGCTTTTCCAATTATTTTTAGGTCCTTGTTTTGTTTTGGTTTTAAGGACATAACCAGGTGGTGTATTAGTTGAAAACAGTGTTTACATGAAGTGGCTCTAAATTCCCACCCATTCCGGGCCCTTGAATACATCTATAACCCGTTTCTCCACTTTCACTTCCATTTACAGCATACACTCATTAGTGTGTGTAGGACCCGGTGTGCCCGCTGAGCTATGAGCGTCAGGAGTTGTAGCACAAGCACTACAGAACCAGAATGACAGTTCATATTTATTTTTTCACTTTATTTATGAATTTCCTGATTGGGCACAATTTTTTAGGACTGGCTTGATTCAATGTGAGATTTGCTTTTCTTTTCTTATTTACGATTATTTCGTGTCATTAATTTGCGTTGCTACTGATTTGGTTTGCAGTGGTTTTTGTTAAAGTCTCAGATTGCTTCTAGTGTTGTCCTGGGTTCCTGTGCTTTATTGGGTTTTAAATTAGAATAATCAAGTCTATTTTAATATCATAAAAGAATGTATAAATATATTTTGTATACTATTTCGGTTTCATTTTAAGCCAGACCTACCTGGGTACTCACTCGGGAGATTATGCCCATTTATGAAGAGAGGCAATATAATATTTGCTCATTGACATTATATAGAGCTGCTATGCACCAACTTAAAGATGATACAATTAAAACATGTTTGTTTTTTAATCATTTCAATGGTCTATTAGTTGTCTTTTGGAAGAATATAACTACATGTAAAAAGTAAATTGATTTCACACATGATTGCAAGTTTTTTTAAATTGATACAAAATCGGTGGGACTTTAAAATGCTAGAAAAACCCCTTTAACATTTAAAGAGCACACATTATTTTGATGTCACTTGAAAAATTATTTTACGCTCTTTCAAATGTAAGTAAACATTTAAACATAAACACTTTATCAAAAGTATTGCTAAAGTAAGGAATGAATTACTAATTTTGTTATTTAAAAAGCTGCTACATCGCAAGGAAGTGACGACATTCACCCTTTCTTTCAAAATAAAACCATGTTGCTAAAGCTACGTGTCTACATACTGCCTGAGAACCAGCCGTCTTGCTATCGTTTTCTGTGTGGAGCAGTAGAACCGAGCCAACTCCACGTTGTTTGGGTTTTGAGATAAGACACAGTGCGCAGCCTGAGGAGACACGAAAAAAAAACAGAGACGCCGTCATTTACACCGCAGGAGCAAAATAGCTAACATGTGACTGCTAGAGGCGGTTCGTCTAAAGTTTTCCCCCACCTGGTACAAATAGTTCATTCTGTCGTACGCTTCTTTGTCTCTCAAAATGGACGCCATTACCAATTCAGATCTCAAACGGAGACGTTCGACTTCATAGCATCTGAGTTTGGAGCTTCTTACTTCGACGACGGATTTTCGACTGTGCCCTTCCGAATAAAAGCACCAGAGTTCCTGAACAACATGGAAGGCGTGGCCCTATCTGAACACGAACCCATGCCGGACTCTCGCCAGCAGTTCCCATCTCTGCCGAGCCCACCCTTAGTAAACACACGCACATTTATGTGCCCCCCGAAAAATGTTGTAAAAATGACCTTGATTTTATTCTTTCAGGTACAAGAATTAGGATATGACGTTACATTTTTGGATCGGCTACTCAATTTAGCAAAATATCACAATTTGTATTTTGTGGATGGCTACTTATTAGTACCACATGAATAACACTTTATTGAAGAAATGATGCTTTTTGCGTACAATTTCTGGTCAGTGCACGCCGCCTATTTACAGAGCTGATTCCAGCTTCTGATCAGATTATTAATTTAATTAATAATCTCTTAGTTTTCTCACAAATAATCGCACCACCAATTAATATTAAAACCAGTTGTATTTATTTGTGTGTTGACAAAGACTAAAAAAATAGTTTGTCTTCAGTTTAAAAAAAAAAATCTAATTAGCTATGGTAACTGGTTCTCAAGCTACACACAAAAAAAAAATACACAACCCTTGTATGAGAAAAGTCCACTTGTTTAGTCTGGAAGAACGCAAAGGACAGAGTTCAACATACAATACTCATTTTAATAGCAACAGAGAATGAAGTATAAACCCTGTCAATCTAACATTTAAATGCCTGCAAGGTGTGCCTCTGGCATCGGGACACTACAGATACAGGGGGGAGGAACTGGTACAGTAGATCTGTCAGCTAAAGGACATCACAATCACAGCACATGGTCATGATGAATAATGCACTGAAATGTTTCCTATAAAACGAGACGAGAAATGTCCACACGACATGGGTCTACTGGGAAACAGAGCGTCCACTGAATGAGACGATATGGACCGGGAGACGGGAGTGGGCTGGGGACACGAACATAAACTTCAAGTATCAAAATAACTACGATACTGACAGGCTGAAAATGTCAATTACAAAGGTAGTAAAAATCATGGGAAACACAAGACAGACACAATCAACAATACATTAGGCAACATTTTGCATTTGTTTAAGGCAGTTGATTAAAAAAAAACAAAACAACTAAACTAGGCGTCTTCTTCATTCCAAGTTAAATACAAGCCTAGTTTTAACATGTCACCAGTTTTGATGTACAAAAATGAACTACGCCTGACTGTAACTAAGCACTTTAGTTTGACTTGTCATCTGACGGTAAGAGTTCGTGCTGACAGCGGTGGGGGGGTTGTGCTCTCGGTTTTTGGTCTTCACAGTGAGGTTCGTCAGGGCTTACAAGGCTGGTGCATCTCAAGGCTGGCAAGTCACTCTCAGCCTATTGTCTGGCACGAAATCTAAACGGTTGGCACATTATCTGTGCACAGCATACGTAAGGCAGGAGGGGGTCGGCTGGGCTTCGTCCGTTAACGGGTGCCCTTCATGGCATCCTTGGCTGCCAGGATGAGAGGCGTGAGACTGGAGAGCGGCTTCGCCAGCTTCAGGAACGGATGCTGAGCGGCAACGCCACAAATTGACAAGATCAAAAAAATATTGTAAAAAAAAAACAAAAACAAAAAACAGCACATGAAGTAATGACTTAGTTTTTACCTGTAGGAGCTCTTTGCCTCCGCCTCTCTTCTCTACATCCATTTCCAGACAGCGGTTCAGGAAGTCTCTGAAAACCGGAGACAGCTTCTCTGGATTCTGGAGCTCTGGTGTGCCGTTTGTGGCAATCAGATATAATGCCTGACCAAGTGTTTGAGATGAGAGAAAAGCCTTACTGTTTAAGGTTCTTATTGAGACTTTGTGATGAAAAACATAGTTGAGAAGAGGAAGGAAAATGGTTTCACATTTGTTTTACAAGCAAACATCTGAAAAATGTGGTGTGTATCATTCGGGTGCCCTTCAATAAAATCCAGTGTAACCCAACTGCCTTCAAAAGACAGTCAAATTCTTTGTTCATGCACACACACTTGCTCAGTAAAGGTGATTCTTAAGGTAGCGTATCCGTGTGTTGAAATGGCCCAGTCAAAGTCCAATTAAATTTAACTGAGAATATTTGTTGTCCACACATGCTAGCCATGCAATGTCACTGAGCTTCAGCCATTTTTCATTTGCAGCTTGAACTGCCGTGAAATGTGTCATAACAAAGAATTGAAGGTGGTGGCTGAAAACAAATGTACGCCACACTTTTTAGATTTCTGATTTGTGATGGTGCTGAAACCTGTTTTATTTTCCAATTCCAAACCAAATCAATAATCTAAAACCAATCCATAATTCTTGACTAAGTCACAGTTCACTTTTCTTCCAGTCGTACCGAAAAAACATAAGACGAATCAAATCATCTTATGTGATGTTTTTATAATATAGGATGTGATAAAAGTTTTTTTATTTTGAAGCCAATAGTTACTCTAAATATGGACAACAAAGTTTCTTGTGCTTCAATGTTGATTGATTCAAGTCAAAAAGCTGCAGCTGTTCAAAGACCATGTTAAAACACAAATCAACTTTTAATACGCCACACTTGGTCACCAGCATTTCGTTGTACTCACTCGTAGTGGGTTCTCGTTCAGGTAGGGGGGCTCGCCTTCAACCATCTCAATGGCCATGATACCAAGTGACCAGATGTCTACTTTCGGCCCATAAGCCTTTCGGGTCACCACTTCGGGGGCCATCCAGTAGGGCGTGCCCACCATAGTGCTGCGCTTGCTCTGCTCAGGAGTGATCTGGGCGCAAAAGCCAAAATCGGCTGCAGGAGAAAAGAGGAGGATGTATTGATCTTTTTTCTCTTCCAGGCTAAAGAACGAAGCTGCTTGTAAGGAAGTCATTCTTACTCAGTTTTACAGAACCATCCATCCCCAGCAACACGTTATCACTTTTGATATCTCTATGAATGACTTGGTTAGCGTGTAGGAAATCCAAAGCTTGTAAACACTGGAATCGAGAAGAGGGTGGAAAAAAGTTGTTAGCACGGTTTCACCTTCAGCGTGGTGGAGGATTTTCTTCAAATTTGCCGGAAGCGGGACGAGTGCAGAGCACCTCTCTGCAGACAGCGGCTATCTGAGGTTCGTCCATGCAGGTTTCTGTGACGACGTCCGTCAGCGACCCGCCAGCCAGATACTCCATCACCACAAACAGCTCCTCCCCCATCAGGAAGCTGAAAACAACAGCATATATATATATATATATAAATAAAACAAACAACTAAAAATAAAACAAACATAATGTGCCTCCCCAAGTGGCACATTATGAAACACACAAGATAAGGAATGTTAAAGTTTAATCTCACCTGTCCAGGAAGTTGACAATATTGGGGTTTTTCAGCTCCTTCATTACCAAAATCTCATTGATGATTAGCTCCTTTTTGGGTTGCTTCTGTAGATTGATCTGTTTAATGGCCACCTGACAAAATGAATAACCACACTTTAATGTGGAAGTTAATGGTGAGAATGGATTCAATGTAAACCAAACGCCTGTCATTGAAAAGTGCAAAGAAAAAAAAGGATTCTTTATCGATTCTCTACCAATAAGATTTCTGAAGCATGAAAGGTGATTTTCTAACTAATTTGGCTTCCTTAATTGCAAGCAAACCTTTTAACGGAGTCATCCTTTAGTTTGGTTGATAATAGAAAAAAAATACACATTTCTCTTTATTTGAGATTCTATTACCTCCTGTCCTGTTGCGACATCAATGGCGGTGAATACTGTTCCTGATGCCCTGCAAAAAGTGTAAATGGACCGCTTTAGACACATTTTAGGCAACAATCCACTCATATTTTAAATTCAGTAAAATAAAACAATGAAAAACTGAAGTAAAATGTTCAATTTAGATTACCAGGTTCTAAATTAAGAAAAAGACACATTCATTTTAACAAATCAAAGCCACAATGCAGAAGCTGTGTGTGAAAACGTTAACCCACACTATGATTCAAAAGTCACGAGAACCACTTGTCAAAGCAAATGGGTAGTGAAAGAAGTGACCCACTTCTCTATGTGAGAAATTCTGACTTTTAAGTGTGGCCAATATTAGCAAGTGAAATGTGCCTGCATTACACTGACATGGCTGGGAAACTAATTTAATATATGAATTAAAACAAAACAAAGAGGAACTGAAATCAGGCTGAGAGCAGAACTGAGTGAGCTACAAGTAGTTTTTTATGTTTATATTATAATTATTGTCTGTATTTGTATGACATTTGTGGGAATTAATCTGTATTTTATCATTTGTAATGTAAATATAATGTACAGTTTTGTAAGTTATTTCAAAGACAAAGCAATGAAGATCTTGCATACTTTTTCTAATGAACATCTTATTGTATTATGAGCAGTTTGAGAAAACCAAGTCATTATTTTTAACATCAGACTTTGTATAGCCATTACAGCTTCTGTATATATAACCTCTTATAAATGCTTTTCTTGCATGTTTAATAAAACTGTGGTCATATTGTGACATTACAACATAAAACAGGTAATATGTGAAAAAAAACAAAAAATCAAGCTTCTCTGCAAGCCTCCCCGTGCTCCTGCTGCCATCTGCAGACATGCGGGGGAGGGTCTTGGTGTTGTCAAACAAGCTTGTGTACGCACTGCTCTATGTGCTGATGACTGAAAAATAACTTACCGTCACAGGAAATCTGTTTATCCACCGGTTGAGGGTGTTCATGTTGGAACTCGGAAAACTAGATGGATTTGCTTAATGCCGTGTCTATGACCACTACCACGTCGTTCTATTGACTCAAACACCAACGGAATATATTCACAAACAGCGGTAGCAATGTGATATCTGTGTAACTAGCTTAATGAGGGGCAAGCTATTATACGTGCACATAATTAATTTCAGCAGAAGCCATATTGGATAGTGACCTTAGGGAAGGATAGGCACCCTTATTTATTTATTTGGTGTTCTATTTGAGTTTTCTTCAACTTTGAAATTCTGACTTTCAAGTAAAACTCAAAAGCATCACTATTTACAAACGTAACAACTAATGTTAGCCTCATTAGAATGAACAGCGACAATTATGCTAATACAGCAAAAGAGGTAAAAACTCGTCATACTTGTAGGGCAGACAAATTCCTTCATCCCATGGTAGAAATGTGGGATGACAGATTTTGCACGACAGGTCTGAACTTACCCCTGGCCAATTTTTTCATATCTTGTGTACTTCTTCTTAGGATCTCCGATGCTTACAATGGTTCCTGTGAGCCACATCACAAACATCATGAGAAAGATGAAGGTAGGATGTAGGTAGGAGAAGTGCATAGTTTGGTAATAACTCACTCAGTTTGTCCATGATCTCCTCGTCTGTCATCTTGGTCTTCCTTTTCGGTCTGTCTGCAGACTTAGAGGCAGCATCCCCATCTGGACACGTACTTGGAGCAGGAATGGGGTCAATTACAGAGCGGGTGTACATCTGGAAAGTTGACCAAATACATAATGAAATAGAAAAAAGACAACAAAAAAAGAGCTCCAGATGATATACTAAACAAAGTGACGACGTTTGTAGCTGAAAAGTTAAACGAGATCAAGAATAAAACACCAATGGTGGCCGATTTTCTTTCCACAGACCCATGGATGGTAACTTACACTCTTTGTGTGTTCTGGTCTTGGAGCCACAATAGGGGGCGGAGTTTCATCGTCGTCGTCATCGTCAATGTCTTTGATGTTCGGAGATGAGGGTTCAGAGCTTTTTTTCACAGGCTTATTCAAAAATAAAAGCAACAGTTTATTCAGCTTCAAAACACAGAGAGCAGCACTAAATCTGGAGACGAGCATCAAAAACAAATCTGAATTACTTACAGACTGAGGTCCTGCAGGGAAGGCCTCTTTTTCTGTATAAAGAATACCACAAAAATTAGCTTTTTTTTAATCCGCCACAAAAAGTACTCCGAGCTCGGTGCTGCTTTGTTTTCCTTCCCAAATTGTTTTTTTATGATCAGCTGAGTTTCATTTTTATTCTCAGCAGGACTCGACTGGACTGTATTGTTGCTGGATCTGACGCATTGTGTGTTTCGTTTTTCTTAATTTAATTTCTCACCAGAGGACGAGAAGCTGAGGTACTTCTGGCGGCCGTTGCCCGTAGAGTCGTAAAACTTAAGGGCGTCAAGAACGGCCTGTGGGTTTTTCTTCTGCTCTGACTTGGTGATGTTTGAGGTCTGCAGCAGTCGAGCCCATTGCTCTGGCATGCCCTGCGCATGAGACAAACAAACCAAACCAGAAGTTCACACACAATGCAGGCAGTGCGTTTCAACAACTGCTCGAACAGTGAAAACTCACTGTGAACTCCCCCGTAACGGCGTCAAACCCGACGTGTATGGTGTGCTCGAAATCAGAGGGCGGCGAGATCTCCGGTCGCTCTTTGTCTCTATCTTTTTTCCTACCTACAAAAAATAAAAGGAAACCAAATCTTCAATGGATTGAAAGCACACGGTTTACTACAACCGCATCCTGATGAAATTAAATTTCTCATCAAGTTTCAAACCCTTGACTTCACCTTTTTCGGCCCCCGACAGGATGGACATGATGCCTTTCCGCTGTTTTCTTTCTTCGGGCACAGACGGCAGCGGTTTGTGGTTGGCCGAGAACGAGTCTTTGCCGGCACCGGTGCCGAAAATGGTGCTTCCTGATCGCACAGGAGGGGCGGGGGGCTTGTCCTCAGGGTCTCCGTTATCGCACATTGTAGAGAGGTGGACGCGTGCCGCGCGGGGCAGAGCAGGCAGCCAAACAAGAAGTGGTTCAGGAGTGAGATGAGCGAGCAAGGGAGGCAAGACTCACATCAGAAGGGGCGTTAGTGTTCACATAAATAAGAGACGAAGCACCAAGAGACACCTGGGAAGAAGTTTAACTATTGTTAGAACAGAGAATAACTATTAAAAGTTCTAAATACAGCAGAGGATGTCTATAAACTGCACCAGAGTCACTTTTTCTTCCATAAAACATTCCGATTTATGATGTCACTTAAGCCATGAAAGTATAAACTTAAGCATCCATAGCGCCTGCCAAGCTGAAACCACAAATTTAACAAAGTAGTGCATAATTGTGAAGAGGAAAAGAAGAAGATGCATGCATTTCAAAAACAGACAGTTGAATACTTATTGGTGTCATACTTTTAAGAGTTTTATTTGTCTTTTGTCTGCTGCATTGCCTTCCTTTCCTTATTCCATTTGCATTAATTCATTGTTCCTTTAGGCGATTTGGACTACCAGTGTGTGATAACATGTATCTGTCGTGCTGCTGCATCTCTTTAATGTAGCATTGTGTTTTAATGATGCACAATGTTACATGAGTGAGTGTAAAAACTTAAAAAGCATGTGCAATCACAATGTGGCCTCCTCTTTATATAGTCAAACGTTCTCCAATTTTAACCTGAAATTTACATGATTACAGTATGTTGAAACGAGCAACGTAGTTCCTACAGTTTCATTGGGAGAAACTACAAATGAATGCAAAGTAAATGCGTCTGATGCAAAATTGACGTCCTGATTCGTATGAAAACATTGCAAGCTGCTCTTTCTTTTATGTCCTGCACTGTAAAGCTGACACCTAGCAGCTCCTTATTTGATATTTCGTCTCCGCCTAGGCAGACTTTCCAGTAATGTGCGCGTTTCCACCATTTTAATTGCCTCTAAATGCTATTTAATTGAGCACCAACAGGGGCGTTAGCAGGCTAACGTTAGCATTCACCGCTTGACCAACAAGTGTGCTAGCTAAGAGTTATGCTTAGCATGACATGCTACACCAGCTCTCACAAACCTAACGTGGTTAAAGGCTGTTCGGCTAACGCTACACGGTTAGCCGAAGTGCAGCTCCAAACTTTCCGTCATTAATTTGGAGTTTCAACAACCCAGCACGGGACCTGGGAAAAGGCCAAAGTGGCTCCTGCAACTGTTCCCAACTAGCGGGCTAACGGAGGCGACGCAGAAGCGGCGGAGCTCACCGGAGTTTCCACAACTTGACTCCCGGACAATCCCGTCGGCTTAGGGGGAAAAAAAACCCGATGAGAAATCCGCTAAAAACGCTCCCGACGTGACATTTGGGTCCTGGCTGCTACACCTTGTGCGATAAAACGCCTTGGTAAAAAACCCGAGTTCCGACTATTTACAGTTGAACTTTTCATCAGTCTTTTCGGCCCTGGGATAATTCCGCTATGGCGAAGGGGGGAAGCGGAACTACCGACCCAGCCCTGGCCCCTTCGGCGAGGCAACGCTTCCAATGAATGGAGCGAGGGGGAAAGTCAGCCATCAGGGGGGTCTCCAGGCATTAGATCATCCTTTCAACACAAAGACAGTCAGCACTTCAAACACTCAATACAAAAAAAAAAAAAAAAAAAAAAGTACATAGGAAAAAAAAAATACTATAAAAAAAAATTACATAATTAAATATCTGAATATATTTCATCACAACTGGAGATCCCTTCTAAGGGGTTTGAATTGAAATTATACTATTCCACACATTTATGTTTCACATGTTTATTTAATCAACGTTGGGAATTATTTTGACATGTGCAAGCAAATATAAGGTTTAGATATTTTATTGATCTAAAACATCATTTGTAGCTCAATACATTTTTTATTTCTGTTTCCCAACTGCTTGAACAAAAATAAATAAATCAATAAAGAAAAAAAATAGTTATCTTTTAATATTACCTGGGCAAAATTTCAATTTCAGATCAGAAAAATGAATAAAAAAAAAAACCTGTGAAAATATTAAGCTCCTCAGGATTTAATTTAATGTGGATACCTGGGATTCTTTCACAACAGATACAGATCTCTTTTGTATTGACAGAAAGCAGCTGGGATCATCCTGGTCCCAGACACAACTGCTCCACATTAAAACAAGTCCTGTTGACTGTTGCAGCTTAAACGATTCGATGTTTCAACATGTATTTAGACAACACCACACAGCAGACCACAGTGGCAAGAAGAGTCCCACCGCAGACAAGCATCGTCGCTGACCCGTCACCAACCGGAAACGTGACGCTGACTGTGCTGGGCTCCTGAAGGAGGCAAGGCATATTTTGAATGAGAAAGAGAAAGATTTAAACAGTAGGGTTCATTCTTTTTTTTTTTTTTTTGTTAACAAAATGGTTTGTAAAGATTTAGGGGGAAAAAGCACCTGCTGCAGAGGTTTTTTCACCCATGAGCATGTGCTGGAATTGCTGGCAGTGCATGGTGCGTCCACTACAGAACGAGAGTCAAATCTGCGAAGATCTGAGCCTGGAAAGGAGGAAATTACAAAATCTGTTTGATTAAAAGTTGCACTATCTGGACAATATGGAAAACAAATCCTCCCTTTGATTTTCTTCTATCAAAAACAAGGAATCAAGACACCTTTAACACAAATATTGTAAATTTATATCAGATAATACATTGTAAGTATACAATGTATTGGAGATGCACCAAACAATCACCCAAAGATTGAAATCAAACAATATTTTCTTGATTAGCTCTTATTGGTAGGTCAAATATTGACTCATAAATTATATTTGTTTACTAAATAAATGATTAAAAACACAAAAATTGTCCACACTTTTCAATCTACAAATGCACAATTAAACTATGATGCTTTATTTAAACTGTATGAAAATCTAATACATTCAAGGATTTATACTGTGATGGACAATTGAGGATTATTTTGTAAACAATGTCTTCTCTGTCAGATTCAAATGTATACATCTATCAAAAGAAGTGCAGCAAAATTTCTCTGTATTATCTCTTTTGGATAGGGGAAAAAAAATCCCCTAACCTGTCAAAACTGGAATTGGTGGGAAAACTCAAGGAAAAGCTAGTCAAACAAAAACACTTGACTGGTGCATCTGGGCAGTTTATGAAAGGGAAAGAAACATTAACTGTTTACATTTTTCCATGCGCAGCAGCAGGTCAGGAGGTTCAATGTGAACAGATGCGAATGCTTCCCCATCAAAAGAGGGCTGGTGATAGCGCCCGTGTACTGGGATTATTAATTTTAGGAAACTGGGAGCTGATCCAGTGAGGGAGGGAAACACGTAGGTAAGAAATCCAGAAGTCTTGTGAGCAGGCACTTCGAGGTCAATGGCTGAATCTAGTAATATCTTAAAGAAATGAAGACAAAGATAATTTAAAAAACAGATGCAAATATGCACTTTTTAAAACCTATTTACTGTGCCACGAGACGTTTCATGTCTCATGGCGTTACCTCAAAGTTGCTTTGATCACTTAGGGATGCCAGCTGGTATGGATCTACAAAGACGCCATTCGGCCATCTGTAAAGCAGCAAAACGCTGGCACCACTGAGTGCGCTTGGTCTGAGCTCAACAGTGGTTGTCACCTCCCTGAAACACAACAGAAATTAGTTCCTGGAGCCTTTTGTCTCTTTATAACATGTATCTGAATTAGAAATGACATCATGGCCACCTGCTAAATAGACAAACTGTATTTATCCCAGACTGGTTTATCACAGCAGCAGATATAAAATCATTACAACTTTTTCACAACCGTAGCAGTGAAAGTACAGTAAAACATAAATAATATCAGAGAATGTTTTGCTCAAAAAGATAAAATACTACTCAAATGACTTTTTCTTTTTGAAGAGTTTAGATTACTAAATGATGGGATGAAGGTATTCGTTGTCTGAAAAAGGTGTTGGTATTACATTCACAGCTGATTGTAATACTGGTTCACAGTAATCAGCTGTGAATGTACTGGTTTCTATACTGGTTACAACAATAGAGGAGTTGAAGCAGTCCCTTGGAGAGGGTTCTTTATTGCATGTCTTGTGTGTGGTGAATGACACACAAGACATTTTTCAGCATCCTACTCTCACCCACCATTTTTAATTTTGGAGTTAACCATTCTTATCAACTTAATCTTTTCTTGCCCAAATATCCCTGCCCAAATGAGTCAAGACAACTACACCTTAGGAGTTATGCTGTGCTTTTTGTGGCAAGATGTTAGCGGCAAATTTTAAAGGTGGTGCTTCAAATCTGTCATCTGTCTCGTTTGTCATCCCAGATCCCCAATTGGATTGAGATGTTGAGAATTTAAAAGTTAGGTTAACATATCAAACTTTTTAATGAGCTCTCAAGATGTTTCTGTAGTACAGGAATAATGTTTATTTTTTATTTGTTTGTTTGTTTTTTAGCGTTAAGGAATTTGCTTTCCATTCTTGACAGCTTTGCAGCTAAATATCCCTCCTGCAAACTGCAGTTTGGACACCCTTCTATTAGGGATGCACTAATTTATTGGCACCAATCTCCTTAATTTTGGGAGATTGGTGATCAGATCGACACTTACACGTGAAGCCGACCTCATATCCTGCTCTTATCTGGTATTGGACACAATCTGAATCAGCAGATCAGACTTTTTAATGATTGTAATTGGCGACCGGCTCGTAAACTACAATCGGTGCACCCTGCTTTCTATGAGAACCAACATTATCTTCACAATCTCGAGCGTGTCAAATGCACTCAAATCATTATGCTTGCCTATTTTATCTGGCTCTGGCACATCTACTTTGAGAACAAACTGTCCGCCTGCTAACAACTACAACGTGTGCCATGATGAAGACATATTTACTTCATCTGCCAGTGGTCATAATGTGACAGGTATATAGCCAAATACCTGTGGAAGCCCTTCTTGCTAAGCTCCAGGGACACAGAGGAAGATTCTAGCCACTGTTTGAGCTGATCGCAGTGCTCCTGCTCATCTGCAAAAATGTGAGTATTATACAGATAAACATTTTAGAAAGCGTTAGTAGATAGCATTTCACCTCATTGCAATTTAGTGGGATTTTATATATATATATATATATATATATATATATATATATATATATATATATATATATAATCATGTCTTGTTCAAAGATATTTTGGGCAAATGTATTTTCGGAGACGTGCTTCACATGAGGACATGTTTTTACATTTAGGAAAAATCTTAATCTCTCTTGTTTGTAAGACCTTAAACCGTACAAACCGATCAGTTTTCTTGCCAAGATAGAAAACGTCTATCTATGTCACTTACCCTCTTTGTTCAAACAATAGCACTTAGATAAGCAAGCCAACACAAAAAACAGTTCAAAGTACATCACAATTGCGAAGATAACATTTTACATGTATTTTCAAAGTATTTGGCATAGCGTGAGGCTTTTTCACGTTTCCTAATTCAAATGTTTACGGAAGACAACATCATAGGACCATCTTGTAGTTTTATGGAAGCCAGAATCCTGCCTGACTATAAATCCAGTCCCTCGAGTGTTTAACGTCACTGCCAAGCTGTTATTATATACTTTCACATAAAATAATCAGCTTTAGTTTACGTTAATTAATTTAATTTTGCAGCTACGGCACAGCGGTTCATATAACCTTTTTAAAATATATTTTTTGTACAGGCTTCACTAAAATCTTTGCCTGATGAAGAGCTCCTTGGTAACGCTTCCCATGAAAGGTCCTGCAAGTAATTCTTTGTGCATTTCTCTTCGTTTTCAATTTAGTGAACAGTATTACGGCTGTTATGGATTAAATCATTCACTTTCAAACTCTAAATCTCAGGAAAAGGACATATTTAGTCATCTTTATCGAAAACAGAAGGCGATGGGTTTTGAAGCAAAGCGGTGCGGCGTGCAGTTTAAACCTCCTGCTATAGTTCTGGTTTATATCCACACCGACACCAACAAGATACGCAGAAGAATCATACCCATACGAAATTTCTCCAAATATTCCGGTAAGACGATATTTTTCAGCAATTATATAGTTGGTATTGGAATCACAGTTTCAGCAGTAGTGTGATGAGTACACCTACTTGGTCAATTTCCTGATTGAATGAAGTGATCAAAAGGAGTAATGTTGCAATCGCTTCTTCTGTTATGAATTTAAATAAATAAGGTCCAAGAATAAATGCAGTAATTTGCGAATGAAAGAGATCCGTATGATGATGGCGCAATGCAAAAGTATTCATACCCCAGGGTCCTTTTCACAAGTGTTTTGGGGTGTCTCTACCAGCTTTAAAATATAAATAATAATAATTTTAAAAAAACCTGAAGAGGTTTGACTGCTTTTGCTATGCATTTGCCTCCACTGAATTAAAATCTTGATTTGATGCCCGACTTCCAGACTGTAGCATGGCTGCTGAAAGACTGAAAAACCACCCAAGGCACAGGGGCTATCTGGATCAAGTTCCCCTAAGCCAGCTGGAGAAACTCCACATCATCCTGCGAGATCACATGCAGGGGCTGAGTCTGGAGAACAGCCTCGCTTCGTTCCAGCTGGACCCCGACGAGGATCTGAACAAACTGGACGACGAGGAACTGGCCCGCAAAAAGGGACAGATGGACGCAGTGTTCGAGAGGAACCGCAAGCGGAAAGATGACCCGGACTTTGTGTACGACCTGGAGGTGGAGTTTGACAAATCCAAGCAAGAGAAGTGCAGCTGGGATGAAGAATCAGATGAGGACTTTTAAAACTGATCGCGTTAACGCCAAGTAAAAATAAAGCCTTTTTTTTTTCCTGGACACAGGGCTGGGCCAAGATTGTAGGAGGGCTCAAGTGGAATTTGATTTGGGTCCCACTTCTAGATACGTCCACTGCAAGTAGTGGAGATAAACAACATTAACACTCTGGCTGACATTTCAGCATAAGCTCAGACACGGTTGATAATATCAAACTGTGTTTTCGAAAATATACATGCCAGGCTACAACGACACAACTTAGGATTAATAATTGAAATTTATTTGTTATAAAATACAAGAATTTTACAAAATACATACTTTGGTTTTATTTATTGTTGTGGTTCACACTTAAATGAAGGATATTCACAGTCAAATACGAAAGAAGCTGCTAAAGTTCTATTAAATTACATCTCGAGTCACCGGGATTTAAACGCAACACAAATATCTCTTTGGAATAATTTGCCTACAAAATATCTTTTCGATACAAAATACATAATATATTTGTCCATGTACGGTTTTATGTGGAGAGCCGGCGTTATCCCTACGGTTGTACAAGCCAGGAAAACGACAGACATTCAATAGCAAAGTTGGCTATGAGAAACTACGTCTTGAAACGCCTGCAGTGTCAAACGTCTTCAGGGGCAACGATTTCATTCAAAGTGCTTAAATATCTCATTTAGGTGACAGGAGACAACGACTGACCATTAGTACCACAATACATTCAAAAATGTCATAGGCTTGTGTTGAAAATTTGATTTTACATTTCTCTTTTGCCAGTTTGGTTCAAGCTGATTGTTGTGTCACTCGGTCACTTGCAGTCATTTATGCGGTTCTAATGTAAAACCCTAAAGAGGTAGTAACAATAAACTAAATCTGACTTCCTTTCTTTTTTTTTTCTTTTTTTTTTTGAACCACCGTTGTTTCCGTAAGGATATATAGGTGTTTTAAATGTAATTCTCAGCAGGCTCGTTACTTGTTTTTTTAAAAAAAATAGTTGTTTATAAAACTGGCATTTCAAGTATGCTAAAGCAACAATCTTGGATCTGCGACTTCGTTAGTGAAGACAGTATTTACATCTTTCTTACTCGAAAAGGAGAGACTTTCTGACAAGACCCGGGCAACACAGTAAATGTATTGTATGAAAATTCGATTTGAAGCTACAAGACAAAGACGGATGTGCTAAAATTTAAAGAGGGAAAGGAACGTAGGGGAAGCTGGTGAGGAAATGTGTCACAAAAGTAGCTTTACACCAAATCTGGGTAAGGTTTTTAAGGAAAGTTGAAAACGGAGTATTGCTGAAACAAAATACAAACTACACTATCGAGTGACACCAACAACACAAAAGTAGGTTGCCGTTTCTGAAAGGAAAATCTCATTTTTTCTTCCTGTCTTGAGTGCACCTCGGACAGAACCTGTGAGACGAAGGGGAAAGAGGAAGGACAAATGTTCAGAGAGTGACTGGACCAATGCCTGATATCTTCTAGGGAGTTCGGGCCTCACCATTTTCCTTTTGGTTTCGTGGCGAGGTCAACACAGGCAAAGTGGAACCACTCAATGGGACACTGAAACGACAGGAAACTCATGTCAGCCTGCAGATGGTTTCAGATGAATTTTGAATGGAGATAAGGATAAACAATAATAATAATAAAAAAGGTTGAAGACCTACATCAGGATTATCACATCCGATCATCTCTCCGTAGGAAACCTGGTGGCACAAGCAGTACGTCGGCTCATTGGGGTCCACCGGCATGTCCAAAACGTCTGACGGTTGCATGGGAAGGAGGGCGTCGCTCAGGTCCGGACTGAAAGCATCAACGCTACTAATGCACCACGACTCATAAACATAAACAGAAAACCTCTGAGATGAGCCGACAGGCCGAGTTACCTGGCCTTCTTCTTCTTTCTGGGGGAATCTTCATCTGAGCCCTTCCTTCCTCGTCCCCTGGACCCACGCTTCTCTCTCTGGCTCCGCATCTCGCTCTCTGGGAGGGGAAGAACAAGAAAAGGAGGGGAACAAAATTGCTCGCAACAATAAGACTTGTCATGCAGACTCACAGGAAAAGTCTTCCGGTTACCCGACTTACTTTTCAGCGCTCTTCCGTCTGCACTTTCATAGCCGCTCTGTTCTAGTTTCTCCTTCAGCTCGTTCTCAAACCGAGCCAGATCTGCATCCAGCCTGCGGATATGTTTATCCACCTGTGGGAAAGAAATGCTCTGAATGTTTAAGTCCGAATAAATAAAGGCAAAAGATAAAAAAACTCAAAAAGAAATCTATCAGAACAACTGGTAAGTAAATATTGAAAGGAAGAAGTCAGGCGAATTCTGGAAATGCGTGTTCAGACTGACCATTTCATACGTCTGCATGGCAAGCTGGACTTTGTCATCGCTGAACTCTTTGCACTTGCTGTAGGCGTTCTGGATCTTTTGTAGGTGCTCCACTCTCTGCTCCGAGGCGAGGTTCTTCACATTCGCTATGTACTCCTCCGCCAGCTTGTCGATCTCGCCTTTCTTTTCTGCGAAAACGACAGGGGATTGTTGGAGACACAGATAAACTCCGCCAATGCCAGCACGGCTCGAAAAGCTCATCGTGCAAATTCAAAAGCAACCGATTTAATATGCCACCAAAAAATAAAATAGTAAAATGATGACCTTCAGTTCTGTTGTCCAGGTCCCGCATCAAGGTGAAGTTCCTCTGCAACTCACATGGTAGATTTTCTATACCTAGACAGAGGATTAGTGAATAATATTAATGTGTGTTTTGATATTAAGAAAAAAAAAATATAGATAAACACATAAACCGATATTAATCGACAGGCAAAACTAACAGTTTTGGCTTGAAAAGCTGAAATTAGTGGGCTACTTTAATTGAAATCAACAATTAAAATGATCAAAACAAGGTACATTTTGGTCAGGAAATTTGAACGACATTCTTTTATAATTTTAACTTCATTTCAGGCCAACGCACAGTCCATTTTCTTATCTTCAGATTAATAAATAATTCAAATAGGTGTTAAAAATAATCAGCAATAAAAATGAGTCAATGTATACATTTACGAAAGTTTACTGCATAATATATTGATGCTTTTGCATGTCAGTTTGAATACGATTTCTCAGTTCGTTCACTACAAACGTCGTGAACGAACAGGCAGCTGGTGATGGTAGTTTTCCATCACCACGGCGGTAGATCTTTACGCCTGGACTGTGTTGGTTTCGGGGCGCTGAAGGAACCGTGTTCAGCCTCGCGCTGCCTCAGTTTGGGCGCCGCTTCAAACACCCCGCCCCCCCCCGGCGCCTAAACAGTTACGGGAAACGAGGTCTCCAACAGGTTGCACATACATGGTGCACTATTTAACAGTGAAAAACCCGAACGTTAAGAAGACGACAAATATATATATGTATATATATGTATAGATGTTGACGAAAATAAAAATGTGAAATTATTTTCCAATTTCAATCTTTAAATACGTTCTGCTGTTTACTTTAAAAAAGCAAAAATAATCCGTTTTATGAAGTAGTTACGTCGTGTACCATTTAATGCGGCAGATTTAGTGTCGTTTCTTTACATCAGTAAGTGAGCACTATGAAGTGACAATTCATTCTGCTTTACTTCCATCGGAACAACGCTATTGTTAGCAAGCGAGCTATTTGCTAACGTGCCTGCACTTCAATCTGCCTCTCGTCCCTCGAGCGAGTCCTTCGACAGATAGATAAATAAATAAATAAAACTAAACCTCAAACGAACTTTAACGCGACAACGTTAACCGCGGTACGTCTCGTTTCCTGATACTCACTGTCAAGATAGTGCTCCAAGTAAATCGCCGTTGCCATTTTGGGATATCTATTTAGCTTCTGCGTACTCTCGTTAGCACGCTAACTGTTAGTCACAGGGAGCGTTTGTTTTGGACGACAGGGTTTGCCGTCAGCAGGTGCCGCGGCGACGCGAGTTTCAGAGTTCGGTTGTAAACAAGACAAATAGACTACTTTACACTACACTACTTTTTGTTCTCAAAACTTATTCGTATGATACAAATCTAAATAAATATAAAATACATAACGTTGACTTACTGCTCATCTTTAAACCGCTAAGATTATGTCGTAACGCATTTTATTTAAATGAATAAATAAAAACAAAGGTCTGTCATTAAAATTTTAACAATGATTACAAAAAAAAAAAAAAAAAAAAAAAAAACTGTGTGCAGTAAAACTCAATTAGTTACAATTTATAAATTTTAAAATAATATTTTTTTTTATAATTGATATACAATCTCAACCTTGGCCGCAGGGATAAATATCCATTTTTTAAAGTCAAACTCACAAAATGTGAAGTGTAACTGTTAAGATTTTAACAGTGATATAAACCTGCCTGAAAATCATATATCAACCTTTATTTTTGCTTTTTTATGACAGGGATGACCCAAGGAAAAAAAAACATATTTTGGAAAAACCTTAAATTTAGATATAATAACCGAAAGTTATTATATCTAAATTGCTACCATTGCTACCAATAAAATGCTACCATGAATTGTGAATCTTTGTTTATATTCCTGAAAACATATGAATATCTTTAGCAATTTATTGATTGTTTGGTTAAATAATGATCTTAAGACATCTAAAAAAAAATTAAATCTCACTCCCGCTCGACCTGTGTGCACCTGCAGCAGGAGCTTACTAACAACCAAACGCACCTTCGCTTCTTTTGCTGGCATTTTCCACCGCGGTCAGCTGATGGATGACGTCATTGAAAACAAACGCCGCCCTCTCCCACAGAGACTATTGATTCGCGAAGATGCTCTGTGGGCGGGATTGAACGAGAATCCCGGACCGAAGACATAACGGATGTTTCCGATGTGTCCACTTCGCTGAACGGTCAGATATTTCTTGCTCCGAGCAACACGTCGTGTTATTGTGCATATCACTTCCGCATTCTCGCTATCCTCAAGAAAGGTTATCTCGTCCAAAACATTTGAGGACTCAAGTAAGTATTTAGACCAAAAACACGTTTTAACGTCATATAAGAGCGTGCAGTCGGAGTGTTTACTTTACTATAAACAGTTTAAACTCGCGCTAACATGTCTGGGACTTTCCAGCTGTTTGCTGGAAGCAACTAGCTAAGAATATTTAATCTGTTTCTTACACTAAATCCTGTGTCCGGTTTTTGTTTTAACCCCATATTCTTCTTACCAATATCATGTGACCAATTTCTTGCTTTCTATTCCTTTAAAGTGTTAAGCTAAGGACCCCTGTGAGTCAAAGTAAAAATAAAAGGTCGCTGTTCAACTTTAAAAAAGTTGAACAGTTCAACTTTAAAGAAGTTGAACAGCGGATAAATTATTGATGTAATACAAAGTCAACAATGTTTTTGAAACCAATAGCCTCTTCTGGGTTAGCTTAAATATATTAGTTCATAAGCTATATGCAAAATCAGCTCATTTGCTAAATCATTATATACATCCATCAGAAAACATAGGTGTTTGTTTTCTTTTATTGCTGTAGGTTTTTATAGGCATCGCTGTGGACTTGGTAGTTGTTTTACCACTCACGAGGTTCATCTTAGACACGCCCCACCCAGTCATCATCCTCTGGAGTTGTGAGAAAGACACTGTCATGATATTTACTATTTTTCTTTTCTGTCTAGGACTTTCCTCTGAGATGGCTGTGGTAAAAAGTGGCTGGCTCCATAGACAAAGTGAGCAAGCTTTAAAACTTTCTACTTGCAAATCAGCAGTTAAGTAGCGCATAAATATGTATATGTTTGTAGAAACACAACCTAATAAATAATAATAACAATAATTATAAAAACAATTGTAATGTTTGTTTTGAAGGCACCATCCTGCGGCGGTGGAAAAGAAACTGGTTTGACCTGTGGGCCGACGGGCGCCTGG